CACACATACACACACACACACACACACACACACACGCACACACACACACACACACACATCTGAGTTCTATGTTTCGCCTATAATCGTTTCTAATAATCAGAGTAGATAGTTTCGTAAATTTAGAATTATGAGCTGGGCTAGTAGGCCTGTTTTAGTAAAAATGTTCTCAAAAATGACTGAGGCGAAGCCGATTGGATTCCTTACGAACAGCGTGCCAATATACATATTTCGAACATTAATATCACAACCATACTAATGGCTGGAATTTGACGATACACTACTCTTGCACAATCCCATGACTTACCTCAGTCGTTCATAGTTTCCATTATTAATCAGGAATAAAGCACCCACTCGTCACTGTTGAAACAATGACACCTTATTTTACCTGCGTTTCTTTTATCAGACAGCTCGACTCTAACTTCAAATTCTGACTCATGCACATAAAAGGATTCAACTGCTCTGTGTTTGCGCTGAACAAGAAGAGCGCGCGTGAGAAAGAAAGAAAGAGAGAGTGAGGGGTGCTTTGGCATGGGGGGGGGGGAGGAGGCGAGACAGAGAACATGAAATTATATATTGCATAACCACAAAGACAATAGGAGAGTGATATCGCAAGTATTTTGTTTTGATTTTTGTTTACATTGTTTGCTGTATCAAACCAGAATAATTTGCCTGATGATACTTTTATATCGGAACACCTGTCTCCATCAGAGAAACGCTCAGCAGATAGACACGCTGATCAGACTGCTGGTGGGTTTTTAAAGATTATATTATTTTGCTCTACTATCAATTATCATATTATTGTTATAATTATGTAGCTGTTATATAGCATTTAAATCTATTGCACTTTAAGCGAGGTAAAAAAACAGCCAACAAGAACAACTGCTACCAGTTAATCTATAGCTTGAAAAACATCTCATATAAGGATCTAGTGGACACGTATGTCCAATCGGCACCAGACTAAAGGCAATGTTACAGCTCACTTCTAACACACATACACATAACCCGCTTCCAACCCTGAATTTGAACATACTTTCTTGATAAACGTGTTGATTCCAGCTTTTTAAAGTTTCAGATAAAGAAATCAAAATAGAAACAATTGTGTGTGTGTGTTTTGTATGTATGTGTGTGTGTGTGTGTGTGTGTGTGTGTGTGTGTATGTGTGTGTTTGTATGTATGTATGTGTGTGTGTGTGTGTGTGTGTGTGTGTGTGTGTGTGTGTGTGTGTGTGTGTACCTGGAGAAACATCCCAGTTGTCGGATCTTTTCGATTTTGAAATAAGGGCCTAATACGCTTATAGCAAATTCAATGCTGAAAACGCTCATTTTTTTAATATTTCAAATATCTTTGGCAATTTTAAAGATATATCGCATTTGGTAACAAATGGAACACAAAGCTTGGAGAAAACCATATTTCTAGCACACTTTAAACCTTTGACGAAGATTAACATTTTGCAAAAATAGCTAATAAAAATATTTAAACCTCAATTATTATAAAATCCCCTCAGTCTGCTCATAATAAATGGATAAACGGGCGTTTTCTGATGGAGCTGAAGTTTTTACCGGGTACGATTTTCCTGGCCTTTTCACACGTTGCTAAAAAATACGAGCAGCTTTTCCGTCAACTGAGACTCACTGAGAACATGCATTCTGGCCACCCGGATACTTGATGACCCCCCCCCCCCCCTCTCCCATTGGGAGGCACATATCTATGAATAACGAAGTTACGCTCCTTTTAGTACCCCAAAAGGGCGGGTCATCAAGTGTTCGAGTGGCCAGAATGCATGTTCTCAGTGAGTTAAAGAAAAGAAACAAGGAATTGAAAACACCACACAGACGGCACTAACATCATTGTAAAGAAAGGGAACCATGTAAACGCGACGAAATAGTATTCCAGAATAGACTAGCTTGCACTAACGACTATGAACACATACAATGTTGTTTTGAAATTGATACGAGATATGTTCTTACGCTATAAAAGTTTAAGCCTATTGCTGGATTAGCAATAGACCTAGATATAGACATACAACTGTACGTACACAAACGCTCTCACGCAAGTAAAGACCCACACCCACACACACACACATACACTTGCTCGCACACAAACACACACACACACACACACACACACACACACACACACACATACACGCACACACGCACGCACACACACATACACATAAGCAGGCACACACACAAGCGCAGACTCACAAATAACTTTCAGTGAAGCTTTAAAAACTTGTAGAAGACCCAAAAAATACGAGTAATTTGAGCAAAAAACCAGCATCATACATACATGCTTATAGCAAATCAAAGAGAAATCCTTGAATGACTATTCGAAGAGAACCTTAACATTTCACTTTCAAGGAGCACATTTCTTTAATAATCAATAGAACAAGTTTGTCCTTTCCGCGTGCCTCAAAGTAATTCTTGAAGAAAAAGTCTTCCCATAACCCTATCACATTATATATTGTCAAACAAGTCCATTACGTAAATATAATGCAAATAAGGAAATCTTCAAATTATGTGGTATCACATTTGTACTAAAGTA